GCAGCAGCCACCATACGCCATAAATGTATATACTTACATCTCTATATATACCACCCACGTATTCAATTTGTCCATCATTATCTCTGCATGGCTCGCATGATGCGCTCGTCTCTCGTCCTACAACAAACATTTAACGTACGAAATCTGTTGCATGCCCAAGTTAAATTGTATTTACATAAACAAAAAGTTTGTACCATGCATGATATATACTATATACGTATGTATATCGTGATATCTATAGAGATCTATAGAGAAGTGTGCAATGTTTACAGTCCCGACGAATAAATTACTTTTGACGTCCTTGTATCATATGTTTGTGTAATTGTCTATCGATTTTTGAACTTTGTTATCGACTTGCCTATTTCTTGTATCGATTTGTATCGATTGTTTCGTTCTGTTTCGTTTGCAGGGTGCTGTTTTGTCACCTACTATACGCGCAAGGCGGCTTTGAGGGCCCAGGATGCGCTGCACAACATCAAAACATTGGATGGGGTAAGTACACAAAAGGGAATACCCCCAATCAACAATATTCTATAATTTTACATATGTATATGTAGCTAGCGCTTTGACTTGCTCGTTTTACGTTCTGTATGTGTATGTATGTGTTTCGTATGTATATCTTCTGTATGTAATTTGTCAATGTGCGCGTTATTTCTCTTTCTAATTCTTCTACGTATTTCACTTTCGTCGAATTTGATATATTTTGCTTTCTAAATAATGCAGCTTGAGAAAGTCAACCACTGGCGCTCATCGATCGATCGAATGACATAGTTTACCACAATATACCTAAAATTTCTAATAGCTAGTTATTCGATATGTGCACACACACATACACACACACACACGCGCACAAGAGAGCTACATACGTGGTCGTGGGGGCGTGGCCGTAGCTCTGTTGTTGTGTGGCCAACACAAATGTAATCATCAGTCAATTAGTGGATTCAATTATTGAGGACAATCTCATTGTTAACGTATTAAATGAAGCGTTCACGCACAGGCAAACACTGTAAAGGGACTACCCTTACTCAAAATACATACTCACATATCGGTCTCTAGGTATGTACGACTAGCTAGCCTTTGCAGCCAGCTCGCAGTCAGCTACTTCATTTACATATTCAAATTGTTAATGGAAAATCCAATGGCACTAAAACAAGTGAGCGAGAGAGCAAGAGCAAGGGCGTGAGGTGGGGGAGGGATAGGGGGGGTAGAAAGGATGTGGCAAATGACGCCACATGTGTAATTGTCAAAATAATGATCAATGCCCAGGTATACATGTACATACATATATACGTATGTATGTGTGTATATAGTTATATATACAAGCACTTTGTTTGTATAAGTAAGTGCCCAGCTATGCATGTGTGTGTGAGGGGATGTCTGATCCCTTAATGCATTTGGCAGGCTGCCTGAACAACCACCAAGCCCTCCCAATGTCTGCTGCTCTGCAAGAGCTACTTAATTTACCTGAAATAATCGATAGGTAAACAGACGTTAAAACGTCGGTATTTTCACACACATACACACGGACGAAACACACAACACACACACGCACACAGGCATCTGCATGTTTGTGTGGGCCCAACTTGTCAACGGCTTCAATAAATATTTTGTTTTGAACTGACCAATTCGCTCTATATATAGACCACATACGTACATGTGTATAAGTCTACGCCTGCGTGTGTGTGAGTTAAGTGGCCCTTTTGGTCGGGTTTTTTCTGCTTTCGTCTTTGTTGTGTGGCACGTGTGAAAAGACGCAGTTGTGACGCACTTGGATTGCCCGGAAAAGTGATTACACTGGAAAACTCGACAAATGCGATTTATTTTTTCGTGCAGCCCAAAAGTATGCAATAATTTTTTGTGTTGGCTTTACATGTGCTTGCTCTGTAAAATGTTAGCGAGAGAGACAAACACAGTTGGGAGAGAGAGCTTTAAGAAATGAATGTTAAAATAAATTTAAATTATTTTTAGTGAGCGATTTGATAAATATTTTAATGCTAGCATAATTATAATATAAAAGTAGCTGCAACTTTTTTTTTTATTCTGAGTAATTTTCATATTTTTGTAATTCAATAAAATAAATATATAAATATATGCACATTTAAATAAAAACATATAGTTATTATTCTTCTTTTATAAATTTTTTTAAACTATTTAAATTGATTTTTTTGCAGTATTTCCTCCTTTTCTCTCTTTTATTTTTTTTTTTTTGAGAATCAAAAGCAAATATAAACTTTTTTATTACATATTTTTTCTTACATTTATATGGATTCTGTTAGAATTCTTGCAGTGTTCTTTTACCCTTCCGCGTCTTTTGTGTTAACCTAGCTAAAAGTAAAGAGTAACGGTATATTTTGATAGCTAATTGACAATTTGAACGGCAATCACAAATGAAATATCGAAAAACAAATTTAAAAAAATAGATTAGGAACTGCCAAAGAAATGCAAATAAATGAACAGCTCGGTAGCAAATCGTTTTGCTAAGCCAATTGTCATTAGAGTGAAAAGGGTAACAATTTGTGTACACGGGTTCAATACATATCCAGAGCCGAGCCTTACACAAACGGACAGCTAAATTGGGAAGGGGCTCGGCAGAGCGGGAGCTTGCCGCTCCATGGGCTGGGAAAAGAGTAGCAGCCGGAGCGATATCCTGGACAGGCCACTTAACTCATTCAACTGTCAATTTTGAATAATAGAGCAGCAAAATGACGCAACAATGTGAGAGAGTGGAAGGCAATTTGTGGCACTGCCAGCAGCAGCAGTAGCAGCAGCAGCAGCTGAGGCAGTGACATTTTCTCGTAATTTGTGCAAAACCTTTTGACCAGACAGATAGACAGACAGACAGGCAGGCTAGCTAGGCCGGCCAGACATCAAGCACAACTTGTCGAGTTCTTGAGCATTTCATTTCAATTTCAGCTCCAACACAACAGTCACTCATTCAGTCACTCGTCCACTCGTTCAATCAGTCAGTCACTCACTCAGCCAGTCACTCATTCATTCATTCACTTAGCGCTGCTCTTTGTCATCGCACGGTCAAGTTTTTGCTTCCGCGTAGCCCATTAGAAAAAAGGGTATACAGAAGAGTTATGTAAGTGCAAGTGTGTAAGTGTGAAAAGGAAAATCGTATATACCTCTCTGATTTCCTATGCTGCCCAATTTATAAATTCTTGAAATGCTCAATGATCGTGAGATATTATATGAGATTATATGCCTACAATTAAAAAATTGTCCACCATAAAATTCTCTAGTTTATATATTTTGGCAAATCGATAAGTATAGGTTTATACAGCTAGGCAGAAATTGAATATATACGTTATTAAGTTTAAGTAACTTACTTTAAATATATTTTTGAATCTATTTTAATGTCAACAATTGGTTAACTATCGCTTCCTATGCTTTTAATTATTATATTTTTATATTTTTTTAAATTTAAATTATTCCCACTTAAGATATAGGGCATCTTCTATTCAGTCGCACTCTACTTGTTTCCCAATGAATTCTCGCTAAAGTTAAAAAAATGTAGAAGTAAAAGACTATCAATTGACGCGAATTTAATATGATTGCAAGTATTATTATTATCATTCGCCGCTGTTGGCGCCTCTTAACTGAATGAAAAGTTAATTGAAATCAAAGTAATGGCAGCGGGACTTGCCAAGTGCTGCCACTGCCCCTCCCGTTCCGTCTATCCTATCAGGTCCTAGCAGAGAGGACAGCCTAGAGCAGGAGACTGAGACCTAGACTGAGAGCCTTATCGGTTTGCTCAATGAATGTAAAATAAATTAAAAATTGTTAAAGGCTGCGCGTTCAATTGCAGAAGTGCTAATGGCCACGTTAATGAAATGGACTTACACTAGGGCCCCAGACCCAAACCAGAATCCAGCTCCTCCGTACTTTGCCTGTAGGGACATTTGTTGGCCTTTGCACTTGCCTTTTGTGGCAATGTTCTTGTTGCACTTTGTTCGTATCAAAGTAATGAAATCTTCAAAGCATTGCAAGGATGGAAAGGTAACTGAAAAACTTATCAGCAGGATGGCTGTCTCTGTGTATGTGTGTGTGTGAGAGTGTAAAGGGGAACAGAACTCATGTGTCTTCCATAGCACCCGAGTCTGAATTGCAATTCAGCAGCTGTTGGCAACTGTTAGAATGGGAAACCCGAGCAGCGCTCCATGCTCTTTGCTCTGCTAATGCTATGCTGCTCTGACTTAATCATCTCTCTCTTTCTTTTGCCTTTTACAGATGCATCATCCCATTCAAATGAAGCCGGCAGACAGTGAGAACAGAAATGGTAAGTTTTTCCAACAGAGAAATAAAAAGAAAAAACTCCATTTTATTTTTTTTTAAATCCTTTGTCTGGCTGATTGCCGAGAATGTTGGCCAGTTTTTATGGCTCTGTCTTGTGGTCTTAATCGCAGCTTGTATCGGAGACATGCGCCTACCATATGCATGAATAATGGCCCGGGCGGCATATGCTAGCTATGGGCAGGCCTTGCGGCGGCCCACTAAATCGATTAGATTCGATGTCTTTGTCTTTTCTTTGTCTTTGTTTTTCTGTTTCTGCTGCTGTCTCTG